ATGTTTTATATTTTCTTAAAATATTAAATATATATAAAAACCTGTACAATTTTGTCTCTTCTTATTAAAGTTTAGTGTTAATTCAAACATTTTACATGCATATTAAAAATGTATAACACTCGTATCACGGAATAAAATAAGTTACAAGTGATTTAATGTTTAGTACTTGTATTTCACAAAAATCCTCATTTTCTACACTTTCTTTAACAAAATTCAATTTTTTCATGTACTACACTAGTTTGATTTTGGTTTTAATTTCTTTCTTCTTTCAATCTTCTGTGGTACTTATGTATGTATGTAGGATATAAAATCTATCAATAATTCTTTGCCTCTCGCATAAATGTCATCCTTCTATTCTTGTTGTTGTCATTCTTTATTTCCATTTTCCATTTAATCGTACGAAATTCTCAATATAAGTAATGTCATTCTGGATATATTAAAACAGTCATAAAACATACATAAGCCGACGGAGAATAAATAAAATGAATTGTAAATGAAAACGATAAAAATATTTTTTAATGCACAGGGAGCACATATAAAGCTTAAGTTCAAATCAAATACATATACTATCTCGAATAAAAGGTACAAAAGGATTTCACATGAGAACTTCTAAAGTAGCAACTTTTGTTATAAAGACAGCTTGGCCGGTTTGGTACTGTTCTGGGCAGCTCATTTTCGATTTTAAGGATTCAATGCTTTCATTATTCAGCTTTCATAATATTGTAAGTGTCATGAGCATATTAAAATCATTAATTAATAAAAATCGGTTCTTTTCATTTTTACTACATATACTGTATACGTAATTCTACATCAATTCGTCAAGCATTTAATTGAACGTCCTTTGTTCTATTTCTTTAAACAAAAATATTTTCATTGTAAATATCAATAACTCTTTCCAAAAGGAATATTACTCATGGGGAAAAAATTGTTGTTAAATTTTTTTTTAAATTAATTTTGTTGGGATTGTAATCTCTAAGTTCTCTCCGGTACAAAATCGATCTTAAGGTTTAAATTTCTTGAACTCTTTTATTCAACGAAGTCGTGAAGAATTCGTTATGGCCTAGAGGTTAAAGGCCCGCCTATCGTGCATGAGAGTGCGGTTTCGAAACAAATGTGATATTTCCGACTCATATGTACTTTCTAAAAGTATTTAGACACAACTGACAGACGGTGAAGGAAAACATCGTGAGGAAACCTGGACTTATAATTTCATATAATAAGTTTGGAACCACCAACCCGTCTCGAGCAAACGAGGTGCGTAATGCTTAAACCTTCTCCATGTAAGAAGGTGAGATGTGATATTTGCTCAGCAGTGGGCTCTGAGAGGCAGATGATGATGATGATGATTTTATTCAACACTCGAGTTCAGTTTTCTAATAACATTGTTATCCCCTTTATTATAATTATGTGTTTATTTATAACCAGAACTTGGTTCTTCTTAGACTTACAATTCTAGAGCAAAATTTTTAAATATATTAGAAACAAATTTGGATCTTAAATGGTCTTTAACATTTCAATATCAAAGTTAATATTATTGAAATGTTAGGTTTATTCACTTTTAATTATTTTTTTGTTTATGTTTCAAAGTAAAAGTATTCTTTTTTAAGAGTATCTTGGAGCTTTTTTTTTCTCAACACAAATAGGAAATGCATATAAACTTGCTTTATATTGATATATATCGTTGAACGATAAATACAACCTCCATATCTAGGCACTTTTGTAATTGTCTTACTGCACCTTCTGAAAGTTATTCTGTCGTCGGAATTAGATCCTTGCTATTATTGTCAAATAGGAGTAATAATTTCGGGTGTTAAAGTATTTTAATTAAGCAAGGAAAAAGTGCAAAATAAAAAGAATATGGAGAAAAAAATATGCGGGTGGCACAAGACCGGTCGTAGTGGAGATCCTTGGGGGAGGCCTATGTCCTGCAGTGGACGTCTTTCGGCTAATGATGATGATGATGATGATGGAGAAAACTTAATAAAAACGAACATAACGAATAATAAAAACCAGATATCCAAAAATAATTTTTTTCACGCATTTGATTCTTTTCCTTTTAGGCGTAAAATTGGAAATGATCCAAGATAGTGCTTGGAAGTATAAACAAAATAACTAAAAACTAATCAATAAATTTTCTTTCATATATATTAACTTTCTCTGATCGTTTAATAGTGAAATGATGATAGACAAAATATGGAGAAATTATTCAGCAGATTCTGCAAGAGAAACTATTGAATTAAGTGTTATGTTATGAAATAAAAACAAAATATATCGACATAAAAGACATGTATATAAAAAAACAATGATTAACGGTTCCTTTTTGAATAAATTTTTTATTTTATTTTTAATCAGAATTGCATAATGCTTGGGTATAACCTCGAGGGAAGTAAAAATGTAGCTTTAAATAATGAGTCATAAAATTCAAAATTAAAAACCTCCAGATTATAAATTGACGTCCCCGGACACAGACACGTAGTTCTAATCTTTTAACGAGTTTATGAGAAAGGAAGGAGGGTATCGCTTAGACCATATATGGGAGAGATATACAACGAAAAGATGTAGACTGGCCGTGTGTCTCGTTGTCTGCTGGAAAAAGGCTATGGAGGAGTTATATTCTGTTACTCTTGGAATCCACTCCAAAGTGAATCCTATAAAATACTAAGTGACTAATAATGACTAATAATGACTCCTTTGATTAGGCTGGTTTTAACGAAAAAAAATATTTTGCTAATCAATAACTCTTTTCATAAACATCTCACATTCGCTTACAACATCCCACTACAAAATTCCTCAATATTTTTCGCAGATGATAGCTATTCCTGACAAATTACCTGATATCTTATATTAGTTTTTCCCTGAATGAGGTATTCTTTTAAATGTGCATGTAGCATATATATTTTTTTACTTAATTAAAAATTTTATGTATATATTTTTTTGCAATACACTTTATACTACATTTGTATATCTATGTATATTGTATATTATAAAAAGGAATCGAGATAATGAGATTCTCGACTCACGATTAGTTCTTCTTGCAGAATAATATACGACATCTTCACAACGATACAAAAGGCAGTAGACCTCCTAAAACGCAAAACTGATACACTTTAATCCAGTTTTGATTTTCCTTATCGGCTTGTAGCACAGAGAAACAGAAATCAGTCTTCTATTTCTTTAGTTCTTTGATTTAAAGCTCATATCGACTTTTAATATCAGCAATAAAATTGGAATAATAAATAAGTTAACCAATACATTTTTTGCTACATAACGGCCCTATAAAATGAAGACTGTAGACTGTAGAACTTCTGGAAGGTGGATATATCCCTCGGACGAAGGTTTGTGAGCTCATTTCACAAAAATGGATTCATATGTAAATATATTTATATAATTGTGTATATATGTTAAATATTTATGTACTTGTATGTGTACTTGTTTGTGAATATTTATGTATATTATGTATATGTATATTTATGTATTCTTTACTATGTATATATTTTAAATTTTTCTTTACTTCTGTGCACGTCCTACTCATTACTCTCTTACACTATTCTGGGTTGGCTGGCAGAAAATGCTGACATAGCGTTAAGTCCGCCCTTTGTACATTAATTTTTTTTGTGTGCAATAAAGAATAATAAAAAAAAAAATCATCATATAAAAAAACTTTTTAGAAAGCATGAGTGCTCACAGTCTACGGATCGATATTAATAAAATCCAAAAATTTTAACTTACAAGAAAAAAGAATTAATGTAAAAAATAATTATTCATTTGAAGTATGGAACTTTGTTTTAAATTTGAATCATTTTTACAAATTTTGTCTTGAGGTTTAATTTTCATGGTTAAACATAATATTGTCCCAATGCATTCACCCCAAAACAAAAAAAAAACCACTCTCTCTCTCTCTCCGTGAGAAAGAATCTCTCCGTGCTGGAGAAGTGCGACTTCGCAATGTTCGTATGAAAACAGGAAGGGGTAGAAATGGATATTTATGGAATTTTTAGTGTTTCTTTAATAAAAACTCTATCAATGTTACTTACAAGTCACAATTGCTTGCTCACACAGTTTTCAGCCTCACACTCTGTCTCTTTTTATCAACCTCCCAGGAGCATAAAAAGTTGAATGTAACCTTGTTAAAAATCGCAAAATAAGTTCTACTTTAAAAATACATTTAAGTATTCTGAATATTTCTTATATATTGTACATTACTCACATTTCAGTTGATTTTTTTTTCAATTAATAGTAAATACACTCAAGAGAAAGATAGGTTTAGTTTAGGTAATGTTAATTTCTAGCGTTGAGTGTTTTTTCTGTTATTTTTAAAATGGTAAAAAGGTCGGAAGGCAATAATGAAAGCTACAAATACAGTTCAATATAATGTTATATTTGATACTAAAACTGAGAAATAAAAAAAATCTTCAAAAATAAAATTCACGGCCATTATGTTCATATAATATCATATATCAGTAATGGTAATGACAGATAGCCAACTCATAGTGATATTCGTCACACTCTTCTTTTATTCGTTCCAGATGACCCACAGAATATATTCAACGATTAATTCAAACCATGCGTCGAATGCATCCTAAAAATAAAAAATTACCATAAGACATTTTCACTACGTATGATGAAATATACAGGGTGACTGGTGAATTACTATCGATATTTGAGGACGTGATATTTGACGATCATATATGACAAAATAAAAATTAATATAACATAAATATTAATAAACTTCTAAGTAAAGTTAACCAAAAGTTATGTAATTAATTACGCATCGTATGAACACCCTACAGATTAGGTATACACACACACACACACACTCGCGCGCGACGGCGTGTTGTTGTATCAGCACGCCGCCGCACGCGTCCACACTTGGAACACTTGGAACGTGTACACACTTTATTTATTTATACGGAAATTTGGTCAAAATTTAAGTACCTATTTTTTACATAATTCGAATGAGAATCATGTACCGAGTATGCTCCTTAAATATTGATAGTAATTCACCAGTCACCCTGTATAACAAAGGTTAATTTGTTACTTGCCTTGTTTTCATTGAAGTAGTTGGGGATCCTTACGCTGAACAGATTGTTCATGTATTCAGAACTATCCTCTCCATTAATCACAGCGTTCATGTTGGCCTGTAAGGAATATAATAATTGGATATGTAAATATAGTATAGATATACAAGAATCAAATGTAAGCAAAAGCATTTTTTTAACTTCGTTCATTATAACTTCAGTTTTTAGTAAGTTATAATTACTCTATTTGTTCTACCTCAAAATGAAACAAAAATGCATTAAATAAAATATTAATAATAATTATTATTATATGTAGTATTGTATGTAAAAAGCGATCTCTGCCCGACATTAAAATAATTAACAAGTTTTGTTTATTTTATCACCCAAAGCCTTTGATTCATTATTTTAAAATATGATTTACTTGGATATGCTTATACCTCAATACCGTTAAGGCTGGAGTCCAATGAAATACTTCGAAGAGAGACTTGCCCGATGACATCGACATTAACGTAAACAACACCTCGGATACGGAATTCGTTTATATATACACTGGGAGAAAAAATATGTATGTGAATATTAAAATGAAAAAAAGGTTTTAGAATTGATTTCTTTTAATTACACGAAACTAAAAACTTCCACTTACTTGCCATTCATATCACCTTCATATTCTTTTCTGCGGATAACGGCTCCGAATTTAGTGTTGTCTAAAAAAAATTACTTATTGTAAAAAAAGGATAAATTGGTTTCAACAAATTAATGTTTAATCAAACAATATTTAAAGAGTTGTCAAGTTGACCAGATACGTACCAAATAAAACCTCAATTTCGGGAATGTATACATCAATAAGCAATCTGTTCAAGCGGTAACTGTATTCCAATCTGCTGATGCGAATGTCACTGAGTCCAGAGATTCGCACATTCTCAATGAAAGCGTTAAATACAAGTCCTCTGTGAACATATTATTACCTTGCGTTAAAATTTAATATGATTTTATAAATGTTTACAATATTCTACATGAATAAAGGGTTTTCTTTTTGAGTTCTTTGAATATTGCTGTTATCAAAACTAATAATTATTATATATAAAAATGGGACATTATTCATTGCAAAAACTTAAACATAGGGTATATTTTCAATCACAATACTAACACGATTGGAATGTTCATATTAATCTCTCTCCTGTCTATTTCGAACGGATCATAACCTTCATTTTGAATTTTTTCAATAAATTTCGCAAATCCTTCTCTGATTCTGTCTTCCGCATCATTTTTCTGGATTGGCTGACCTAACTCTGTAATTTAAAATTAATATATAGACATCAATTGAAAGCTTTTCATTTATTATATTTTTACCATACCATAAACGTTGCTTTCCAATGAAGGGAAGGCATAAATGCTAGCTACGAGCGAAAGGAGAGCCAAGAGTTGAAGTTTCATTGTCCCTGAAAATGGCGATAAAAAATATAAAATTAACTTATTGTGATTTATATATGAATGCGGTATAATTATATGCTTAGTTAAAAATATTTATTTACACAATTATAGAGCAGGACAAAATATATTTCAAATGTAGCTTTATTCTCACCTGTACTTCTGTTCCTTGCTAATAGAAATATGTTGATTGCTTCCTCACAATATATATATTTCCTATTAAATTAATCATATTGATACTATGGGATATCATTTCAAAAAATCTATAATTGCATTTATCTATTAGATTACAATTACGTTTTGGCACTAGTCGCTTACGAAAACGTCTCCATATCTACCCAAAATACCATGAATTGAGATATAAAAATCAATTCGTATGATATATTTTACTAATCCTTTATTTTCTGATAATTTTACAGTATTAATAGCATGTTATGACTAATTGTGTTGGTATTTCTTTCTTAACACTGCTGTAGACCAATCTTTTTTACATATACCAAGTTACAGATTAAAATTCTACTTTATATTATACTGCTTCAAATAATACTACACGTAAAAAACATAAGTTCTACATTTCCATTTTGAGGTCTTTCTTTAAGTCAATATTCATTTGTGTTGGTTTATGAGTTGTTCTTTGTTAATTTTGTCCCCTGTTATTTTAAAGTCTTCTTTTTCCATTTTCCCAGCTTTTCCCTCTCCCTCTACATCAGATAAAGGTGATAAAGCATCTGCAACACTATGTTTCTCCATGTCCATGGGCGACGGTACTACTTTTATGAGGTAGGCCGTCTGCTCTTTTTCTCCTTTGTACTCAAAAAGTAAATATTGTAAAGATACCTTCGAAAATATTATTTTGGTTACTTATTAATTATTAATGAAAGGCTATTTATAATATTCAACCCTGTGAAGAACTGTGAATAAAATTATCAAATTTTTATGTCTTCTGTCTTCTGATAAAAACAAGAACTAAAAATTATCCATAATAAATAGAGTCACTTAGAATTTAGAATTAATTGACACATAGTAGGTAGATAAGAGAAAAAAGTTAAAATCTCGGCAATAGCAACAAAGAAAGAGAACAAAATTTTGAATATTACTGGGGTACGAGATTTTTAATTTGGAGTTCTTATAAAACTAATGCAATATTTTAACACCTTGGTAGTTATTTATCTCTATAAAGGTCTACTCCTAAAATGAAAACTTTAACACGTTTGGATAAAAGTCTAATAATAATAAAAATATCATAGTTGTGGACTCCCTAGAGTGACTTCCAAAAAGTTATAACTGGTTACATAGTTGGTTACCCTCTCGGTGTTTTTTTTTTAAGTTCCCCAAAAAAAGTGTGCAGGAATTATAGACGGGGTGGGCACTTAAAACGGTTTTCCAAGCACGAAATTCGAATATTTGATTACAGATGTATATCAAAAGTATGTACCTTTATCTCGGGAAGATGTTAAAAGATGTACATAAATTAAATTGTATCTCAGTAAACTTTTTTAAATATAAATCAGACTCGTGGCAATAATACGATATCTTAAAACTTATTAAAAAGAAGGTCTTTTCAAACTCATCATCATCATCATTTTGGCCAAAAGACGTCCACTGCAGGACATAGGCTTCCCCCAAGAATCTCGTGGTCGACATTCAAGAACCCGTTGACCCCATAGGGCATCGGTTCTACGAATAATGTGCCCCGTCCACTGTTACATAAGTGTTGCAATTCTTCAGGCTATGTCGGTGACTCCCGTTCTTCTGCGGATTTCCTCATTTCTGTATTGATCACCCGGTGAAACTCCGAGCACAGCCCTCTCCATTGCCCTTTGGGTGACCTTGAGCTTTCTTTTCAAACTCATGATCAATGAAGTCACTATTGTGTTTTATAATAAAGTTTTTGAATAATTTAATTGAATAACCATCTGAAATGAACTGTCTGATTGTAGTTTACCAACTACTATTTATATGGAGCATGTGGTACGAGGGATATTGAACTAATTTACGATTCTTGTTTGAAGATTTAATCAATATTTGCATCACAATTAATAAAAATAGACAATAATTAATAATATAGGGAGGCAACCGGAGTACGTCACAAATTGGAAGCAAAAGATAATAATACATAATACATCATAAAAGACCCCAACAATTGTCATGTCTTTAATTTTATTGCCTTACCATAAACATTTTTACTTAGATAAAACTATTGTTAGTTTATTTATTAGTGTGTAGAATTACTAAAAGTTTTAAGATTTTGAGAATTTGTAAGTCAAACCTCAATTGGAGTGGTGATATTTGGTTTGAAAAAAACAAATTTGAAGGAATTAATACCACCCAGCGTTTAAAATTATCGCTTTTAGTATAGAAATTATACAGATATATTTTGAGTTTGTTTATTAAGCTTTCTTTCTTTCTTTAAGATGAAGAAATAAATTTCTCGTGTAGCAAAATTGTAAAAGACTCTTAGTTATTCTACAATGTTTTACAATGAGAAGAAAAATATATATGTCAGGCTTCAACGAACAGCCGCGTGTGCTCATTGCAATAATCTGATGTTTTTGAAAAACATGATTATCATCGATCAACAAATTCGGCGATATGGAACAAGATTAACAATAAGAGATTGATCCTCGTGATATCAAATAATAAAGCATATTATTATATTAGTCGATGAGGAAGGTCTATGTCCAGCAGTAGACCTCACATGGCTGAAGTGATGATGATAATGATGATGATTATTATATTATTGAGGCAATATATATTATATATAGTTTCGTTTTGCTAATTAATTATAGTTAACCGTGATTAGTCATTTCATTTGAGTTTATAAAGTTATGGCCTCTTGGTAAGTTGAGAAAAGTGGCAAGTTATTAAAACAAACTATATTATTCAGATATGAATCCAGATTTTTATTGTATGTACATTATCGTTATTACTTAGGTTATAGTAACCGTAATCCCAAAATGACGAAATAAAATGGTTGTCGTTCGTTTTTACTAATGATAATAGTTTAAATAAGCTAAAAAAGACGCTTTTATATTTTAAACAATTATTTATTTTATAGTTTTTAGTACGATTTTTGTGGACATGCGCAAAACGCACACTAGCTCTATCCCTTTCACTCTTATAGAGGATCTATGAAAAGAATATATTTATTAATCCTGGCTGCCCTAACAAGGATAATGGGAAATTTTTAACGAATTATTGCATTGTCGTTGGTCCTTGAGACATATGCAAAGTTTCAAGTTAATCAGATGTTTAGAAACCGGTTAAAATCGTGCTCAACGATGCCGTTACATACATACAACCAAAGCTAATAAAGCGTGTTAAAAGAAGATGAGAAATTTGTCCTAATATAAACTTAACGAAAGTCCCATAGGTCAGATTTCTTTTACTAAAACATCTAAAATATCATTTTCTTTTTATTTTTATTGCTCTAAAAATAAATTGCATGGAAACCCTCCTTAAAAAAAATAGCCAAATAACTAAAACAATAAATTATTTTTAAATATAAAAAAACGACTTCACATAACACAAGAACAAAAAAGCGAGAAATGATTTAACACTTAAATAATATTTCCTAACCCAAACAATGTAATAATAAATTCTAAATATCTGCAAAAACCGATTAAAACCTTCTTTAGATTTACGAACACTATTTTTCTATAATTTCCAATAATGTAATTTCTGAATATATAATCGCCATCTGAAGTCGGTGCCTCTGACGTTTGCTTATAGGTGAATGGGTAATATTTCTTAGTAAATAGGAAAACTTATAGTTTAGTGTCTTTATCGGTGAGTAAATAGCCCTGCCTGATTACTTGCTATTTATGAAATTTATCGAAATATATGCATAAGAATGAGTATAAGTTAAATAAGGATTAGGTTACTTTTAGGTAGTTCTTATTTCGTATTCTTTTATTATATAATAGTGTTTAGTTACCTAATCTATAAAAGGCACAGACTCCAAAGACAAACAGAAAAGACGAGTACAGGAGTCTGAAATTGATAATAATGAACGTCTAAAGTTTAATAAAGATAGAAATATATCACAACGTCTTCAAGGGTCATCCAAAAGAAGTTAAAAAAGAATTTATCTTTTTCTTATTTATCTGACTTTAAATTTCCATAACCAAGTTAGATTTTTATAATGGGATTCTGTAAGATTTTACACTATAAAAGCCAAACATGGTGACCATAACACCACCTGAGAGATACAACCATTCAGATAAAAGATATTTTCTTAAATCGGTCCAAAAGTATTGGAGAAGTCCGAGAAAATACATTAAAAAATATTATTAGGAATTGAGAACCTCTTCTTCTTTTGAAATCGCTTTATAATGAGATTAAAAATTCTTTCTACTGACAGTGTAGTTCAAATCTAATACACCTGAGACATTACCATTGTGTATTATGTATTTTAGATGCCTACACATTTTAAGGATTTTCCTTAATTTTAATTGAAATGACACCAACCTTGCAAATACAATTAACAGCGTAACTGCATATACGGTAACTTTGTAGAAGTTTTGCAATTGATAGACATTTTTATGTCCATACCTGATAAAATATTTTAATACCTTATTTTTAAAGTTGTAAATTTAAGTTAAATAGAAATTATATTTTTTAAGTTTTATTGAGTTATATTTTTTTGTCTATAAGTTTTATATATTATATTATAACATAGTCCTTGTTAAATCTGTGATATAATTTTAAGTTAATGTCATATACACTGCCAGTGTGATGATGAGGATTTATATATGTTGGAGTTAATAATATTCGTTGCTTTTAAAAAGAGTGACGTCAGCATAGCTAACGTCACCGATTACTTCTACCTGTACCGTCTTCAGCCTCCCGGGCTCTTGAAGGTAATCTCGTAAAGAATATGTTGAAATGATGAAAAGAATATGAAGAATCCTTTACTTCGAAGAGCTCTGATCCCTGCAATGGCTCGAGCTGGAATATTGTAATGTGTACTCTCGCCTCTATTTAAATAGACCAGCCATCACTCATGGTCGTGACATCGTTTGCACAGGTTGCTACGCAGGTGGTTATGCAGGTGATACCTGATAAATTATCAGCCACAACAATTTATTATTGAAATAATAGGAATTATATATATAACTAGCTCTGCCCGCGACTTCGTCCGCGTGGAATAGTTGTTTTTGGCATCATATTTAGTTTTGCAAATAACCACTTCAGCTTTATTTATAAATTATAGCTATTGCCCACAACTTTGTCCGCGACAATTTCCGTTAGCCGTGCGACGTGGAACCTTATACAGCTACTTGTTTAGTTTAATTTATAATTAATTATGTATTTTTGTTTATATAATGTTGTTTAAATATTGGTAATTTTTTGATCCTCAAGAAAAACTAGGTCCTAGCCTAACACCTAACAGATAAGAAATCGACGTTAATCACATTACAGTGGACTGTATGCCACGTAACATGTCATGTTTTATAATATACTAGAAGACCTGGCGAACTTCGTATCGCCCTATAATCAAGAAATATCTATTACGTTTTTTTATTTATATTTTTGGAGTTTACCTGTAAGCCATAAATCTTCGTGTTTTGAAGTGCGACAGAATGATTGACATATTAGTTAGTTGTCAAATCTAATGTCAAAAAAAAAACGTTTGTATGGGAAATAGAAAAGGGCTGTTTTTATGGTTTTCCAAGTAATTAATCAATTTTTTTCAGCTTTTATACCTTCCCTGAACCTCCACGAACATTTCAAGACTAAGATAAGATAAATTCGTTCAGCTGTTCTCTAGTTTTAGCGAGACTAAGGAACAGCAATACATTTTTATATATATAGAAGATTTATAACTATACTGATCATTTGAAAAGATAAATGGGTGTAATTATAAAATTTAAGTTGATGAATGTGTGATTAAAATTATCGAATAAAAGATAAACATATTTTGTTTTCTTAATCCGAATATCTACGTCTGTTGGGAATTCCAAGTCGGTTTAATAAATTTTATACATACTTTGTTTATTATATGGCAGAGCGATTAGACAACTTGCTTTTACAAATATGAAACCTTACTATATAGTATATACCTATGTAAGTAGCCTTCCACGTAACTTTAGACAAGTCCCATGTGAGAAAGTCGACTAAAATAAGAGTAACTTAATTATTTTTGTATGCCTTATTCAAATATATGATTTGTTAAATGACAGGAGATATAATAAATGTGAAATACTTCATGGATTAAATTTTTTGCTAGACACTTTAAAAGTAAAAATTAAACAAATTTACTATACTTATATTTACATTTTATGACATTTATAATACAGTACTGATGTTGAAACGCTACTGAAACTTTTAAATTCCCTTACATAACAATTGTCATCTGATTGCACGTACATTTTACTACCACTCGTATTAAATACATATAATGATTTTTTTTTTCTACGAGGGGAATCTTATAGATAGAGGGGAATATAATGATTAGTATGTTCTGTTTTAAACCTAACAACTAACTTTTAAGTTAATTAAAAACGATTGTAGTAGCCTCTTCTCAGTTTCTTTTTTATTATTTTATTTTCCTCTAAGAATTCTTTAACTAAATAATAAAACGTCACCCTATTGCCATTTCGATATCCACTTACCTATTGCCAGGATGTGTCTCATAAATCACGATAGATGATGGAATATTTCAGATATATTTGTGTCTAACAGATTTTTTAATAAACCAAATATTAAAACAATAAAATAAATATTTATGTGGCGGCTATACAATAAACAATATATTTGATATAATCATATAATACTGTACGAAATCCTTCAAGGGCCAACCCGACTCGCCTCGAATATCTGTTGCGGTATGAGCAATAAAAGTTGTTAGATGATTTAAATTATTATTTCTCAACAAGCAAATTTATATAACTTCAAGACTTTGCTCTTTATATCAACATACAAGTATGTATATCCTTCTTCTTCCTGGCAATTTCCCAGCTTCGGCCAGGATTTGCCTTACAAATTGTAAATAGTTTTGGCTAATTGTATTTACGACCGGCCGCCTGCCTGACATCAACCCTCTTAGGGAATAAGTATGTATGTATATTCTACCTCTTCTACCTGGCAATTTCCCAGCTATAGCCAGGGTCTGCTTTACATGTTATGAATAGTTTTTGGCTATTTGTTTTTTACGACCGGCCGCCTGCCTGACATCAACCCTCTTTTGAGAATCAACATTAATCAGAGTATATTATCAGTTGCAAATTATCTAGGAGCCCAAGCCAACCCTGCCTGCACGTGGCACCCCTGCTGGATAACGGAAAGGGCTCTGGCGATGCTTTTCCTCTGGTGTTTACTCTAGAGGTTCGGGAGTCAGACGGCAGTCGTCTCGGTAATAGGCAAACAAGCCAATAAAAAATGATAGGACAGGAAAGAGAAAGCAACATGGCTAGGGCGTCGCCGTATAACGACGCGCAGGGGGATCGCCTTGCCCCTGGGCGGGACGAACAACCGGGACAAACGCTAGGGTGATGATGATGATGATTATCAGTTGCAAATAGTAATTATTTAAAAAATGAAAACAGATTTGGTTTGTCTTGCATGAGATCAATGATAATCTCAATAAAATTTCAAGATGTTCAATATATTATATTGATTTTTCTTAAACTATAATAATAATTTACTTTTAACATACATTTTTACTTTATAAATTATTATTATTATTTATTATTCTATCGATGTAAACTTTGATGATATCTTAAACTTTCAGATATTCATAATTCACATTAGAGTATTAATATAAATAAAAATAAGACTATCAGTTGAACTACGCTTTTTTATTACTAAAAATAAATAATAAAAAATAAAAAAGTTTTAAATGAGTTAATAATTTTTAAATATTAAAAAAAATTGTCAAAGTTGAGTTTATTTATGTAACATATGAACATACACAAATATTATATTAAAATAAAAACGGTTAATTTAATAAAAGCAATTTAACAATCTATTTAATATCGTATAATAATGATTATGAAACTTTTTAAAACATCGGTTTTATTTCATAATATCGTGGAGACTTTTTCTAATAGTTTTTTATTTGAATTGACATTTTATTTATTATATTTTGACTTGAGTATTAAGTTGTATTTTTTAAATTAATTTTATAGCAACTATGTAAAACTTGTATTCAAAGTTCAGATTGTATTCTCAAAACTTTAAGTGAGGTTTTATTTTCCTTATATTAAGCATATATTTTTTAGTATCATTATAATTATGAAATTTGTTTTACCAGTTTTATTTTCAAATTAAGTGCGTTAATAATTAACAACGCTATTGAATTAAGCTTCCAGTTAGTTAATAATATTATAATATGACACACACTACAAATTCAAACAAAACGTATTGTTAAGAAAGTAATATTTATTTAAAAAAAACACCTTTACATGTTCTTTTTAATAAGAAATTAATTAATTTAAAATTTTCACTTCCAGATGTAGTTCAGAATGGCGCTGACTACACTTTCAAGAACTCTGTCGATGTCAGCCTAAAAAGAAAGATATGGTTAAAAATTATTAAGGAGAATATTTATTATGAAGAAGATGTCTTAAAAGTCGACTTACCTTGTTGCTCTTGAGGAACGCAGGGATTCTTACATTGAAAAGATTGTTAACGACTTCGGATCTGTCACTTCCTTGAGCAACAATTTTCAGGTCAGACTGTAAACATTAAAAAAAAAATAATATTTTCATACAAATTTCAGAAGTAATACTAGATCAAAGACAATCAATGATGATGAATAATTTATTTGTAACGAATGTTCATATTTGCTTTATTTACAACATAAAATTCATTTAAATTAAAATTGCTTCAGAAAGTTTACCTCAATGCCGCCGAGGCTGGCGTCTATTGAAAGACTGCGAAGAGAAATGTCAATGATGTTCACATCAACGTAGACAACAGCGGCTAAACGGATTGCCTTGATGGAAAGACTGAAAATAAATAAACATTTATTATAGTTCTGGCTCTTATAAAAAAATAATATGTTATACAATCTTTGTGGAAACAAATTTACCTGCCCTGCAATTGTGCTTCAACTTTTGAGCCGAGTATCAAAAGATCAATACCAGAATCACCTAAAAACATAACGAATAAGTACTCAATACGTCAAACATAGCAAATCTGTTAATATTTATTACAATATTATGTTTATTGAATTTATCTTATTTTCAATATATGCAAATGTCTATCAAGTATCATACTAAATATTACAATTTTAAAAGTATTCTATAAACTGGTAAACTGAAGCACTTACAATAAATCATTAAGTTTCAATGATTGGTGGTTTATTTGTTGGCCAGTTAAAATATCTTAAATAATTGAAACTATATTTATGTTACATTTGATCTTAAAAAGAAATTAAATACTAACCAACTAAAAGGCGGAGTTCTGGAAGGGAAACGTCCAGACGTAGTCTGTTGAAAATATAACTGTATTCTAGGTTGTGGATTTGAATGTTGCTAGCTCCAGAGAATTCGAGGTTCTCGATGAAAGCTCTCAATACGAGGTCACTAGAAATATAAGAATGGTTATAAAAGATAATTCGCTGAAAGTTTTATTAATTATTGTTAAATAAATCTTAATCTTACATTGTTACTGGAATAAATTCAAAGTCTCTTCTGTCAACTTGAACTGGGTCGGCACCGGCAGATTGAATTCTGGCGATGATGCGTTCGATCGTCCTCCTGATAGTGTCTTCTACGGCATTTCTTTGACCAGATAGTTCTGTTATGGAATGGTTATAAAGTAAGCATTTTTTATAAGAAGTTAAATACAATAAGGATTACTCGGAAATACATACCAAAGTCGTCAGCCCGAGGCAAGGCAAAACTGCCTGAAACTGCCAATAGAAGAGCGAAGAGATGAAGTTTCATTTTGACTGAAGACTCTGTTATAAAAATAAATAGTTTACTAAAAAAAAAAAAATCTTCTTATGTTCTGTTTTATTTTGAACTAAAGAATAAAATTACAATGATAATTTAGAGAGAGTTTTAAACAAAATAAAATTTGTAATAATTTCACTCTAATATTTAATTTTTAAATGTGTATATTATATTTTTGTTAATAGGTTCAAGTACTACTTACTTCCTTGGAAGAAATAATGGTGAGTACGGTAGTTCTCTATTTATATCGAAAAACAGAACTGATAAAATTGCTGGAACTAATATAATCGCATTTAATTCGTTAATCTTAATACTAAATTAATCTTTTTGTTATCTTAAGGAAACGCAGGCTTACATCATTAATAAATAAATAAATTTCATATATGTTGAAAAATATGTATTAGATCATAAAACTTTTATTAGAATATCAATAAAACGACTTGTTGTGATTAAGACATCTACGTTAAATATTATATTTTGAACGACAAACATGCACCTAGAGTCAAAAATTTAATTCCATAAACAGTTTCTGATATAAGCACATAGTAGAACAGTAGGGATAGGGTCAAATAAGAAAGCCCAATATACTTTTATTCGGTAAGACGAGAATGCTAAATATAAGATCCATGCCATGGTTTTAGAGATCCAGAATATATAGTTAGACATAGGAGAGCTGGAACTGCTAAGCATTTGCTGGTGGGATTTAGGGTACTCCTCGATAGCGATCAATACTCGGGTCTTCAAAATAAGTTTTTGGAAATCAAACGAGAAGCGTTTACTCTTTCGATAGCCTTCTGCAAAAGGGAAGTAACCACGATATAGGTTTCGTGGCAAAAGGCATTATGGCTAAAATCAAACGTCAAGACTCACTCTATCAGTAAAGTGGCTCCGGATTGGACTTTAATAATGAATACGTATGAGAAATAATACACAATCCCAGAGAACATTTGTGCGTTAGCCTTTAGGACAGATATTTTTATTTATTCTTAGATTTCAAAGCGCGTTAAGTTAATAAAGCTTATGATTCCTTAGGAGACCAACATTCCCAATAACTTACTAGGACATTAGGTAACAATGGCGTCAGTGATAATAACAATACTTAAATTTTCACAAGAATTATTGAGCTATTTAACTTTTACAGTATTATTAAGATAATATATTGTCTTCTGAATATATATTTTTCTGTACCTTTCATCTGTCTTCACTACCAATGAGCATTTAATATTCAACATTATTTTTAAATAGCATACTGTTTTTATTAGATTTTTAAGCCACGTATATAAATCTCGAACTAAATATTTGTTCATGTATTTTATTGTTTTATTGCACTTATGCCATATAAATTTTATCGACTTTTTTGAATTAATCTAATATGTAAAATATATACTGATAAGTGGGTGGAAACAAAATAAAAACGTAATCTTCCTTTTTTGATATTTCAAAATCAGTTTAAACATTATAATAAATAAAATTTTAAGAAGTTTCTAACATATAATATTACCTACATATGAGAAAAATATTATTTTCAAAATACTATTTTTAAATTACATTGCACACTATATAAATTTAAAGGACAGGAAGTAGAGTCATATACAAAAATAATTATAACATACATTTGTTCTTCTGGTATGCTATTAATTCTGTTTACTTTTAGTATACATTATTATTTTTTAATCAAGATTCTCGGTTTAGTTTCCTCGTTATTTTATCGAGGGAAAACAATTAAAATTCCGAACATAGTCAATGTAATATCTATCAACATAGAATCTATTTTTACCCAGACAGATAAGACTAATTATGAAGAATGCTGGTATAAATTTAATAATAACCATATTTTTGTGTGACCAATAAATTATTATTTACTTTTGTCAATTATTATTCATTTGTTTTACAAATAAGGTACAACTTATACAGCTCTGATATAGGTAAGTCATCATAGCAAGTGCAGTATTTTTTTATTTTATGAATTGGTTAATTTCAGCGATTACAGTGCCTGTCAACTACCAAAAACTCTTATACGCTTTTATTCCGAATATAGATTTAAGCTGATCACAAGAATAAATATGTTAGGAAGTATAATTGATTTCTTTCATGACACGTATCAATATTAATAATAATATAATATAATTTTGGCTGTTAATACACAACAGGTGGCATTTCTGAAAGACCTACTCATGTGATATTCAGAAAACATTATCGACGTAATTTTTCCAATCCATCCGTGATAACTTTTAAACTAAGATAAGATAACTGGGCTGTGTGGATTAATAAAATACTGTTCCTATTTATATAATTATAATAATAATTAGCGATAATATAGCACCTACCAGAGGCGATTCATTAGTATGTTTCAGATGTCACTATAAGAAATTGAACAATACACTAATAGGTAAGAAAACTGTGAACCAAGAATTTGTATCATAATATAAATATTACTCTGCCTAGAAGCTCAGTTTTTGATATACTCGTATAACAGTCATAGCTTTTCATCATGAGTCTGATGATTCAAAAGATTTTATATCTTAATACTGAAGTAATTTTTACTATCCTTGCGTGTGATCCTAAAATACTTATTTGAATAACATAATTAAATAAACGAAATTATTTGTATTACATCAGAACTAAAAGCTTATCTTATCACGACGTCATTGATATTACACCTAAAAAATCCGAGGCTTTCAATAAATCTTTTAGAATAAACGAAAACATGTTTAAAGTACCTGAAAAAATAATATTATACTTAATTTATTACATTCGTTGTCTCTTTAGCCATAACATAAATATAAATTAACTCATCTTGATTTCCATATCATATTATATGCAGTACTTATCAGTATTATATCACTGATGGCTTAGTGGTTAAGAGGCCCGCCTCTCATGCACGAAGGCGCGGGTTCGATCCTGGCAAGTACCAATGTGATTTTTCCGAGTCATATTTGCTTTCTAAGAGTATTTAGACATCACTGATAAATGCATTCCCAAAGAGGGTTGGTGTCAGGCAGGCGGCCGGTGGTAAAAACAATTAGCCAAATATATTCACAAAATGTAAGGCAGACCCTGGCTAAAAGTGGGAAAATGCCAGAAAGAAGAAAATATATGTATATAGATATATCAGAGTGTATAAGAGAGAGCGAACCACATATTTGCAGTTGTTAATAAAGATCAGGAATCTTTTTAACGAGCGTCAATCTAATTGATTAAAACATTGAAGGTTTTCGGAGTGAGTTTAAATCTTTCAGTTCTGTAATATTCATATTTGATTTAATGATAAGTTAAAATCGAGATTCTTGAAAGCTATTAATTTAAAATTGTTTTTAGTTTTGTGTAAATTTAATAAATTAATAGTAAAGTTGTATACAATATTATTTTTTTAAATGACAATTCTGATCCTGTTTCTATGAATATGTAATGAAGCCATGATAGGTATATAATGATTCATTATAAATATAATATTGTTTTATTTGGCACTAATTAGTAAAACAGTTAATATACTATTTATAAGTAATCCAAAAGTAAATGTACAGAAAGATTAATATTAATAATGACAGGTAGGTAATGTTAAGACCGCGGTATAACTTTAGTAATAAGATTAATTGGATGAAACTAATATTTTCGGATTTACTATACGATTTTTATTTACTTATAAACTACATATTCCCGACGTTTCGGTTACTTTACAATCACCGTGGTCATCGCCATAGTCGAGATGTCTGCCCGCGATACGTATTTATATTTTATTTTATTTAAACGTACGTAGATAAATTAAAATAAAAAGAAACGAAAAATATTGCTTGATTCCCATAGTTTTCTTCTGAGCGGGAAAAAATTGACTAGCAATTAATATTTATGACTAAAGTACTGGACATTCTTTTTGATTTTCAAATTTACCTGCATAGAATCAGATTCCAATTCTACTACAAAATGTATTTGCGATAAAATTTCATATATATTTTCTAAAACTATTAGAGTTAATAAAGGCTTCCTAATATTGTACAAAAATTATGATATTAATGGATATTAAAAATAAGACATCTGTACTTGTAATCAATCTAAATAGATTCGAGACAATTAAATTTTGTTAATATTTAAGTATGTCCTTATATTTAATCTCGATGATTTTCAAAATCATTTCCATTTATTCATAGTAATAAGATGAAAAAATAATTTTGGAGATGAGTTTAAAATAAACACAAAACAAGTCATGCTAAAACATTTTAATCTTTACAAAATCTTTTTCATATATACATCAGAGAAACGAGAAAAATTTTCTTTTAATTATTCCAGTAGTACTCGAGAATGGTTTTAACAAGACCTCCAAGAATTCTGTCGATGTCATCCTATAAAACATATATAGAATTTAATAAATCTACTGCTTATCTTCTTATCAACTTATATTATGCAAGTTACTGACCTTGTTGTTCTCGAGGAAGGCAGGGATTCTCACATTAAAGAGATTGTTCACGTATTCAGTACGGTCGACTCCTTGAGCCATAGCTTTTAAGTCGGCCTGAAAATACATATGTAAATGCTATTGTTACAAACAGCGCTACATAACGTATATTTGAAGCAAACATGAGCGTTGTATTTTTATAGCCAGTAAGTAATTTTAATATTAGTCTAGTTTCGTGGGTAATGTTTTGTCGTTAATTTGAACTGAAAATACATTAAAATTTTTAAATATTCAAATTAAATAAACTTTCACCTCAATGCCTTTCAGACTCGAGTCTAATGAGATACTGCGTATGGAGGGTTGTCCGATAATATTGACATCAACGTAGACAACACCTTGGATGCGAAGTTCATTGATGGATAGACTGAAATATATTCAACCGATTTATAGTAATGCGTTTACAATAAAAATGTAAAGGATTATTGTTTTAAATATTAAAACAATGAACATTAAAAGTTCTCTAACCTGCCACTCATTTCTCCTTCAACTGCATTTCCAGCAATAATGCCTTGGAAATTGCAGTTGCCTAAAAATAAAAACC